CATGCTGTTATTCAGAGCAGGGGGGTGCATGCTGTTAAACAGAGCAGGGAGGGGTGCATGCTGTTATACAAAGCACTGAGAAGGGGGTCCATACTGTTATACAGAGCAGTGAAAGGGGGGCATGTTGTTATACAGAGCAGTGAGAAGGGGGTGCATGCTGTTATACAGAGCAGTGAAAGGGGGGCATGTTGTTATGCAGAGCAGGGAGGGGTGCATGCTGTTAAACAGAGCAGTGAGGGGGTGCATGCTGTTAAACAGAGCAGGAGGGGTGCATGCTGTTATACAGAGCAGGGAGGGGGTGCATTTGTTATTCAGAGCAGGGAGGGGGTGCATGCTGTTATACAGAGCAGGGAGGGGTGCATGCTGTTATACAGAGCAGGGAGGTGGTGCATGCTGTTAAACAGAGCAGTGAGAGGGGGTGCATGCTGTTATACAGAGCAGGGAGGGGGTGCATGCTGTTAAACAGAGCAGGGAGGGGTACATGCTGTTATACACAGCAGGGACAGGGTGTGCATGCTGTTATACAGAGCAGGGAGGGGGTGCATGCTGTTATACAGAGCAGGGAGAAGGTGCATGCTGTTATACAGAGCAGGGAGGTGGTGCATGCTGTTAAACAGAGCAGGGAGGGGGTGCATGCTGTTATACAGAGAGGTGAGAGAGGGTGCATGCTGTTATACAGAACAGGGAGGGGTGCATTATTTGTGTAGGGCTATGGGGGCAGTATTGTTATAGAGAATAATTCTGACTGACTTGGAGGAGGTTCACATATTGTTTCACAGAGTGGGGGAGTGGGATGGGAAGAAGGTACAGGCATTCATATACAAAGGAGGTAGCTGGGAACTGGTTACAGGTAAAATATACAGAGTGTGGGAGTATGTCAATTAGTTAATTATACAGGGAGAGGTGCAGGAATTAATTATACAAAGTGTGTGGGGGGGGAGGAATTAATGATACAAAGTAAGGGGGGCACAGGAATTCATGATACAAAGCAAGCGGGGTGCAGGAATTAATGACACAAAGAAAGGAGAGGGTGCAGGAATTAATAATACAACACGGGAGGTGGGATGCAGGAATTAATAATACAACGCAGGAAGGGGGGTGCAGTAATTAATAATACAACACGGGAAGCAGGGGTGCAGGAATTAATAATACAACGCGGGAAGGGGGGTGCAGGAATTAATACAACACGGGAAGCGGGGGTGCAAGAATGAATAATATAACGCGGGGTGCAGGAATTTATAATACAACGCGGGAGGTGGGGTGCAGGAATTAATAATACAACGCGGGAAGCAGGGGTGCAGGAATTAATAATACAACGCGAGAAGGAGTGTGCAGGAATTAATGATACAGCGCGGGAAGCGGGGGTGCAGGAATTAATAATACAGCGGGGGTGCAGGAATTAATGATGCAACGCGGGGGTGCAGGAATTAATAATACAACGCAGGAAGTGGGGGTGCAGGAATCAATAATACAACGCGGGAAGCAGGGGTGCAGGAATTAATAATACAACGCGAGAAGGAATGTGCAGGAATTAATGATACAGCGCGGGAAGCGGGGGTGCAGGAATTAATAATACAGGGGGGTGCAGGAATTAATAATACAACGCAGGAAGTGGGGGTGCAGGAATTAATAATACAACACGGGAAGGGGTGGTGGAGGAATTAATGATACAACGCGGGAAGCGGGGGTGCAAGAATTAATAATACAACGCGGGAAGCGGGCTGCAAGAATTACTAATACAACGCGAGAAGCGGGGGTGCAGGAATTAATGGTACAACGCGGGGAGGTGGGTTACAGGAATTAATGATACAACGCGAGAATCGGGGGTGCAGGAATTAATGATACAACGCGGGGAGGTGGGTTGCAGGAATTAATGATACAACGCGGGGAGGTGCAGGAATTAATGATACAACGCGGGGAGGTGGGTTGCAGGAATTAATGATACAACGCGGGGAGGTGGGTTGCAGGAATTAATGATACAACGCGAGAAGCGGGGGTGCAGGAATTAATGATACAACGCGGGGAGGTGGGTTGCAGGAATTAATGATACAACGCGAGAAGCGGGGGTGCAGGAATTAATGGTACAACGCGGGGAGGTGGGGTGCAGGAATTAATGATACAAGGCAGGAAATTTGGAATTATACAGCAGCTGGTAAGAAGCCATGTCTTTCTGGTTCTTATAGGCCATTTGAATAGGATGCCAACCAGAGCCGCACTATCAGCAGTTCATAGGCCCCAATCCTGAGAGGGGTCTAGGCCAGCCCAGGTGGCAATGAAAGGACACCAGTGAAATAAACCGGGGGTACCACAGCATGACTGTGGTCCCAAACTTGTACTATTACCCTGGTTTAGGGACAAACACAAGGGTTTTCTAGCCTCCAAACTGCTGCAAAGCAAATCTTCTTATTCTGGTTTAATTTACAAATTAATTAAATCTCAATTGCAATTATAAATGCCTGAAATCTAAGATTATTTTTGGATTTAGAAATTTGTAGGTACATTCAGCATTTATTAAATAATCCCCTAATATTCCTGTGGCAATGGATGTCAATGTCAAACAGAAACGGATTCACTTCACATTTACTTCCAACCACAAAGAAACCATTGGCTTTTCAACTATTTATTCAAATTGTGTCTTTGTGCTCCTGGCCACTTAAACCCCACTGAGACAGTCAGATCAGGACAGTAAAATGGGAATAATGTTCTGATTTAAATGCACACATACAATATAAATATATATATATATTCATTCAGTGACCAAGTCATGGAGTCAATTATTTTGAAATGTAGCACAATGTCCTGCAGTTGAATGTGGACACAACTAAAAAGACAATTTAGCAAGACAAAGGAAAGTCAACTATTAAACTCATTCAAATAAAGCAGTGACCTCCCACGGCTGATCTGCATTTAGTGGGAGCGAATAAGAAATCCTCAATAGAGGTATTATATACTAACTATTGTGTTAGAGAGAGGGAATTGTCAGAAAATGAAAATGAATTTCAAATATTTCCAATTCGGCTCCTTTGCATTCAATTTAAAATTCACTCTGAGTTATTGAATATTCTCACTTCACAGGTAAAAAAAAACAAAAACCCTGATACACAGAATACGAACCTAATCTAAGAAGAAAACACGTTTCATAAACTTTCTATACAGCAGTTTGATCTTTATAAATAGTTGGTTTTATAATCCCTATTGTGAGTTCAATCTCCAAACGCCATTAGGTTTGGATAATCCCTATTTTGATAGGAATCGCCATTATGTTCATAGTATTAGAGTGATGGTAACCTATTTTTCAGTTGTAGTATATGAAAAGACACATTTTTGTAAAAGACATTATTAGATTAGATCCCAGCACCTTCTTTACATTAGGGCGCGCATGCTCATTGACCTATTGTAAAGCGCTACGGAATCTGTTGGCGCTATATCAATGGCAATAATAATAATAATTTCGCTGTAGTGATTATTCAAGGAGTCTCTGGATT